TAAGCTGTTTGATTAATTGACAACAATAAAGAAGTAACAATAATGAAATACAATCAGATACAACTTTTCCTCTATTTTATTCATGTCCTGCGACAAATTCTAAAATTTTGTAATATTTATTAGCTTCTCATCCTACCTTCTGTTTAACCATTCCACCTCGTCACACTTTTTTGGTGTTTTTTGGCAACTTGAAATAAACGAGAATAATTTGCATATATTTTTACACGTTTAGTTCAAATTGGCTGAATCGTATATTCTTTTTCAATGCATATTCAATTAGATTCTAGTCTTCTAACAGATATCGATAATACAAATAAATAATTTGTCTTAGCAACTCAAGCCCATTTCTGAAGATGGACGAATAAACAAAACCATCGAGAATAGGCCGCTAAACCACCTGGAAATAAAGAACATTTATTATAAAATGTGAAATTACTAGTTAATGCAAGTTGATAAAACTGTAGTTTCCTGAAAAAGAGGGGTGGTTATCTTGCCTTACCCGCCTTATAACCCTGACCAAGTATTGAAAATCTGGTACCTAACAAATAAACCTAAACCAGCAAAGCAAATCAGAATGACGAAACTATAAAACATTTAATTACTTGGTTACATTCCTTTACGTCGGAAATTAAATTGCAATGATATATGAGATTCTAGAGGTCTTGGAGGTAGTGAACCTGTAGTTTCCTAAATTGTTGCCTTGCCTGCCCTGATTATACTCTGATCAAGAAGTAAATATGCCTGACAGACACAAAACAGCAAGAGCCAACCTGGATGATCGTGCAGTTCGATAAATGTTGGGTTTTTCTCTTGCCTTTCCCTGCTCATAACTCTGACCAACTACTAACGCTATGCTGAATCAAGTTTGACAGATCAAAATTGCGACAGAACAAAACCAGGATGATCGAAGACCATACTACAAAAATTCGTGACACATTTATTATAAATTCTGATATTTCTCCTTGATATCTACGGGGTTATGTACCTGTAGTTTGGTTAATGAAGGTTATTTTTTCTCTCGTCTCGCCCTGCTTATGATCCTGAGCAGCGATTGCAGATCTTTCGTCTGACCGACCAAGCCTGCGAGTAGATAACTAGGATAATCGTGTTAGTTTGGTATAAGTTGTGTTTGCCCTCTAGCCTCTCCCTGCTTATAACCTTGAGTACCTACTGATGGTTTGCCGAAACCTGCGAAGATTGATAGGCCAGAATGATCGAAGGCCAAAACTTACAAATTTTGTTACATTAAAATAAACTATGATAAAATAAATGTCATGAGCATTTATTATAAATTGTTAGATTTCTCTCGTTGAATTTCTGCGATAAACATCTAGTTTACCTTAACTGACTCCATTGTATTCCCAACAGTTTTAAAATTTTAAAATTACAGAAGATGTTGCATTTGAACAAAAACAATCGCACTTCTTTTCTTTTTTTACTTTTATTGGACGGTTTTTCAGTTTTTTTTTCTTGCTATCATTACTTTTATAAAACGAAATGTCAAAATAGTTGAGAGTCGCTCAAGAAATATTATCACAACATTATCTGGCCGCTCAAACAACAGAAATCTTCCCTTTCCTTCCACTTCCTCCCTGCATCTTCTCATTTAACTTTTCGCATCAATCAGAAAGCTTTTTTCACTTTTTGATATCGTGGAATGAAAATAAAGGTGACTTTTTTAATGTGGTTCTTACGCTTCGTTGATGTAGAAGTCTTAAGAAGAAAAAAAACAATTCAAGAAGAGAAAACTGGATTCTTTTCTAGATAAGCTAGCAAGTGATGTTTGCAAGATTTTAGTGGAGTACGACGAATTATAATAACCGTACACAAGCCAATTACCCAAGCTGAAAAAAAGCATTTAAACTGGGTTAAAGTTTAATTTACTTGCTTCCTCATGGAAATAGCTATATCAAGGAAACGATAAAATTTTCAATGATTTTGTAAAGCGAGTTTAAAACACGGGATAAGGATTGTAAAAAGACATAAACAATGTATATCTGTTAAGAGATCATTTCCGAGTGGAATATTCCAATATTAATAATGATATTTTCCGCTATAAACAGTCACGATATTTGTATAAATGTGTGTCAGATTACAGCAAACAAGAAATCCGATTTCATTTGTCCCGATTTAACTTCCACCAGGGCACGTACGCACAATTGCTTACGTATATTATCAACGCTGATGGGTCTTATTACCGTCGCCTTATCGACCCCGTGTTAATACCAAACAGGGCATAGATCTAGCCTTCGACACTATTTTAAAATAAAGGATCCCCATCGTGTTATATCGCGAGTACCGATTCGAAAAGGGAACATGAACCGTTTTATAATCCCACACTCGGGGTGCTAGTCGCGTGATATATACGAACCAGTTGGCAACCAAGTACTTATAGTTAAAGCCTCCCACTCAAAACGACGAGTTATCGCTTGTAAACTCACGACCTCCTGTGGAGATAGTTAATTGACTCCTATGCACATTCAATCATCAAAATCATTTTCAGGATTGAAATATTAAAGGCCGAGTGCAAATTCGAGGCTAGGTGCGCCCGTCACTGTGATTCGCCCGACCACTTAGTTTTATACAGGTTTTTATTTCTTAATTCACATTTGTATACAAATATAAAAGACCCGTTAATCGAAGAAGTTGACCAGAAAAGTAAAATAACGGAGAAACTTCGTCGGTTGATTGATCCATCGTACTGATAAAACTCCGACACCGTAGATAACTTAATCAGACTCTCAAATAAAATAAAATAAAAACTTCTTACAATCATACCAGAAGGAAAAGGAACAAAAAGAAGTAACATCAGAGAGAGGAAAATCAACTCAACCAGAATAAATTTATTTATATTTGCAAATTTATCCCAATTAATTCTACATTAATGAAACTTTTTCCCCAGTTATTTACTTACTACTGGACGGTTGGGGTAAATGCCCCACTATATAGTCGGAACCATGGAACGATAGTCGAGAGTATAATATTCCACTGGTCTTGAATAGGTAGTTCTGGACCCACCATCCAGGGGTGATATAGGGTTTGGAATGGACGGAGTAGATAGGATGATTCAACAGCATAAAATGAAAAATCGGATAAGTATGATTTATTAACGATAAAATAATGAAGGTAAAAACGAAGGATCAGTAATGACGTTGCTCTGGTAAAGATGAGGATCTCAAGCTTCTTTCCAAGGTTGATAAGGCTGTAAAAGGTAGGTTGATCTTTTGGTTGTAAGCGCCTGGCTGATTAAAACGTTCTCCTGCTGCTCAACTAGCTCGTCTTGCGGTTGATCTTCATTCTCCAAATGGATGTTCACTTGCTCGTTCGCCTTTCTTGAACGTTGGCGTTTGCTTATTGTTTATTTTTTATGTGTTATGTACAAGTCAGTTTTTTTGGACATTCTAACAAGATTCAGTGCTGGGTGTTTGCCAGTGTATAGTGCACATGTGGCTGAAGTTGTTTATGGTATTTGTCTAACGTGCCACATTCAAACAATCGTTACTTGAATTGTTATTATTATTATTATTATTAATTTTTAAGGGCGTTTTAACGGCTAAGGTCATTTCACGCCCTAACATCCAAACCTTCTATCTTAGGTTAGCTATATCTCTTCTGAGTGCTATAAAGCTTTGACTCCAAACATTCACTAGTAAACTAATTTATCCTATTGCCATCCAAGCTTTAATTTTTCTTTTTTTTTTCTTTTTAAAATTCTTAATTTGGAAGGCCAAATGTATGCAAAAATCCCATTTTAAATTACATATAAAATTTATTTGTTTCTTTTTTTTATTAGAATTGTGAATTTTTGTTCCATAATTTAAACATTTCCCATAGGCTTGTATGGCTAATAATAATAATAATAATAATGGAGTCAGACTAGCAACAGTCTCAGCATGAGTATAGGCTCATCCTTATCCTTTTATTCTTCCATTCAAATATGATACATAAACTAATTCTACATAACAATAATAAGAAAGAAAACACAATAACACTTTTTTTTTTTTTTTTGAGGGAGCTATCTTTCTTATTTAAATTGCGATTTTAGGCATCGCAGTTCATTACCCCGCAATTTGTATTTTCTTCCATTTCATTTTTCCGCTCCGGCAGCCTCAAAAACTTCTTAAAAAAAAAATCTTGCAACTCTCATTCAAACATTAGCAGGCATTCAATGGTATAACAATTTGGGAAAAGGCCTAAATCTCATTATTAATTCCAATAAATTTGAGAAAGCTGAAAAGTGCTCTTCGAAAGAAACACTGGGGACCCAGTAACTCCTGTAAATCACTCGAAAGGTTGAGCCTTTGCCTAAAGGGTTGTAAAGTGGGACAGTCGACCAAAATATGTTTTACTGTCAAAATGATGCGTTCTCCACTTCGCATACATCGAGGACAAGTTGGAAGGTTGTTGCCTATTAAAAGCCTATTATGGATTAGCCTGATATGACCTAGAGAGAATCGCAAGTTCTTTTTCTCTCAAGTTCCTCAGTTGGCCATTATGTACAACTGACTTAATTTCTTTCATACTATCTCTACAGACATTCCATCTTGCCGCCCACTTTCGTTTGATAATGTTTTACACATAAACGACTATATCATCTGGACGGAGAGGAAATTGATCTGTTCTTTGTGGATGGTTTGCGGCGTTCCTGGCCTGTTGATCAGCATTTTCATTTCCAGAAATGCCGACATGACTAGGAACCCAAACAAATACCACATGTTTGTTGAGTGTTCTGATTTCATAGAGATATTTGTGAATTTCTAAGATGTAATGTTATTTTATTAATTGTGTGATAATGTTTTATGTTCCTTTGGTCGGATCAAACTGAGAGGATTTATGTTTTCTGGTGGTGGAGCATTAGAAACCGTCCAATTGTGTTGCTCAACTCGACTCGGTCATAAGTCAGAGTAGTCAAGATAACTACCTCAGTTGATGGGGGTTTTACGTTCATCGTTGAGTTGTTTTGATGTCATAGAAAGTAGAAAGTCTCATTTTGATTTTAGGTGACGACTTTCCTGCAAAATTACCTAGGTTCTTGGCAGAGGAGGTTGGTTAGCTGCTTAATACATCCATTTGTAACACACAGGAGTATTGTAAGTAAAGGTATTATTACAATAAGAAGATGACAAAGAATAAACACGAGTAATGTGTTCCTGTTCAGCTATGTACAGAAAAATGGAATGATGGCTTTTATCAGCCGATTGGTCCATTTCTCATTTTTGAAAAATTGAGCAAACTGGATATTTATACTATACTGTTTGGAATTTTGATTATAGACACTAATTTCAGCATTAGCAAATGATTGCGTTAGAAGTTATGATATAGCAAATAAATGTGCATTAATTAATGCATGTGGTGCATAAATAAATGACAAATTTCAATATAAGTTGAAAGTTTTGTTATTTTATGCAAAAGCAATTGTTTTGAAATCTATTGCTACTGTTGATCGTGTCGATTTTTCTCCTTCAGGAAATTTTCCTGTTATGTTCCAATCGCGTGATCTGAGGTAAAAAAAGTAGGAAGTAGACCTCTTGATTCGTGTATCAGGGGTTATGATTCAAACAAATCATTCACGCGATGAAGGTTGGCTTGAGTAAATATTTATTGCAAGAAATAGAACCGCCCAAACTGCAAATCGTTCTACCAAGATAATATAGAAAAAAATTACTTATCATAACAACGCAATATGTTTAATTTCATAGTATTAATGACGGCGAGGCCTGCGTTATATAGCTACACGTAATTTCTACCGCCGTGTGCTGCAATTTGGTCGATTGGCTTTTCATTTTAATAAACACTAAATTTCTGTAGCCTTTATAAACCTGTCATTAGTTAAATGAACTTTCAGTTTCTCTTAAATAATAGCCGTTATAAAATTCGGGATGGAAACTTTTTTCTTTGTTATACACCTTGAACCAGAACACTATTTTTCTTGTTTGCCCATTTACAAATGCTTCCAGATATTTTTGCTCATTTTCTCGACCTGTTGGTCTACAATTAGAAAGTTACATCATAAATGACCTTAGTTACCCGTTTTCGTGAGTTTCAATTTTTTACAAGAGATACAATTGATAAAAAGAAAAAAAATGTGTACACCAAACACAAAATGGCTCTCGCCGCATGATGGACAAGGTACAAAATTACAAAACTTAGTTGTAATTAATCTCGAATATCAGAAGAATAATACAATGAAAGAAAATCAATGTAATCAAATGGAAAGTAAGCATAAGAAAAGTTCAAGCTTACACTAGGATCCAGCGTAACGAAGAAGCTACTCAATACATAAAATTGTAAACAGCTCCAAACGGTTATGTGACATATGAGAAGAAGAGTATGATTTAGTAGGAGTGATGGTTACACACCAGTAATTGATCACAAAACGCAAAAAAGAATTGTCCTGCAGTACTATCGCCGTGGCAATTAAGCCCTGCGCACCTGAGATAAAATTTCTGGGAATAGAAGACAAAAATGTTGTTATCAAAAGCTGCGCTCAAAGTCCTGGACTCATCTGAGTTAAGATTACATACTGCATGGGACTGCTGAGTGCCCTGGAAGCAGTAAGAATAGAGAACGAGTTGTCATTTGACCTCAGGTCACAGGACAGTAGCGTAACGAATAGACTAGCTAGGAATTGCTCTAAGATGCATCACTATGGGCCAGAATCCTTAGATATAATTCCGACCTTAAATAAAAAAGGATCACTTGCTAAATGGGTAATGTTAAAAATTTACACCTGGTGGAACAACATTCCAGAAACCCACTCCTGCCCAGGAAGTCCTTAATCTACCAGCACTACATATCCCCGGGGAAAAGCTTAAAAGTCCTTATTCACAAGACACCCATAGCCTATCCGCATAAATAGGATTAAAGCTTCGGGAAACACTTTATGCGGATAAGGTAGTAGAATACCTATTGACGCCATGATCCAAAAATTCAGGTTTGATAAAAAATTTCAAATTACCATGATGTACCCATGATCAGGCTGGAAGAAATGAATCTCAGTGAATGCCGACTATCTCTGATGGCTCCAAGAACGAAGAACCAATGGGCAATATTCCTCCGTATTTCAGGCAGAGACAACGCGTATCGAACACAGTACCAGAGAGATCAAAAGGCTGAATACTATTTAAAAAAAGCATAGTCATTTATTCGGACAGCCAGGCATCAGTAGTAAACCCAAAGCCGTTTGGGATTAAATTAACGCTCTTGTGCCCCCTTCAGGAAAACAACAAAAGCACCCTGTTATGGTTAGGAGGGCAAACAGTGCACAGGGAAAACGAGGGGGCAGATAAATAGGCCTAGAAATGTTCATTCAAGAAACTTATCGACCTCGAACCTTTTGCAGCATACCATATTGGCAAAATTGTACACACTTGGGTCTTATAAGACTAAAATGATGTTAGAACGTAGCAGACTGTGAAGGCACGACTTGGAGCAGCCAAAACAAACCTGTGTACATCCAGGAAAAAGGAGAAACCGCGGGACAATCCGCTGTTGATGTGAAAGCCTATACAATCTGAGACACTTACTCATAGAAAAAGAAAATCCAAAGCCTGATGATACATACACCCGGGAGCCATTAATTTATGGAAAAATTTCATTTTCTCCCTACATTATTTGGCATTTTGTCAAATTTTTATTTTGTTTAGGTACTTTGATTTGGATTTGAAGACCTCTAACATATAATACTTATATATTATTACTACAAAAAGGGTTTTTCATGTAAGATATTATCATTAAGTGTTATTATTCAACAAAAATGACTATTGAGATCTTACATCTACCAAAAACCTCATCAAAAAGAGATTGGGTCGTATAACGTCTCTTTCTTTACCACTGTAACGTTTGAGGATTAATAAAGCCTTGGAATCGCGTAAAAAGCTTTAAGCTTAACGAAGAGAGCTCCAGTCAGTAATGGACATAGCACAACAGACTGGTCGCGGTCCGAAAAGTCATAAAGACGCCGACTTGTAGAAACCTTCCACATAAACCTACCACAGAAATGCTTCATTGAGGCTGAACAAAACTTACGATCATTGCAGGCTGCTAACCTGGCATAGCCATAGCAGAAAACAGTTTGTCGAGGTTCTGCCAAAAAAGAAGAAGAAATCTTATTATATCCACTGTCAATACCTGACTACTACATACTGTCCAGACTATTGAATCTAATAAAAGAAGGAAAGTGAGCTCCGTACGTGTAGGACCAGAATCGTCACATTTTGAAGCTAGAAGCCACCTCTTACAGAACTACGCACCTACAGTGCAATCGACGATGGATATATCACTGCAGCAACAGGACAAATATTCTAAGAACCTTTAACGATTTTTCGAACAAAATATACTGAACGAATCCAACTTGTTCTGTGAATGGTAAAGCAAAATGGACCTGTTAGCAATATGGAAGTAGATATTAAAGTTCCTAGCAATTGGGTGTACTACGCTACCATCCTAAGTATATCTCAATCCAAGGAAATATTTGACCTCTTTGAAACTGAATTGACAATGTTTATTTGAGTAATGATTTATCATTGTACGATATATCAATCAATGTTTTGAAATACATGAGTTCAATGAAGCAGATTGCACAATTAAATAACCACGAGGAACAGCCAACTAGTCAACTACTTACTGACCACTTAGTACAATTTCATTTATTATTTTAATTACAACTTCATATCTAAGATTAACGATAAATGACAGGTTATGGGGTCAATGTTCAAAGATCTTGATATTTGTACTGTCCAGACCCAGGGTACTAGTAACCCATAGCAACTTCACGATATAATTAATCCCTTTATTCTTATGTCTTCAAAAATTCAATATTAAATATAAAAATACATTTTAATAGAAAAACCTTTTTTTATATATAATGACAATAAAATAGGCTTTCGAAAAATCACATGCTAATATTTTTTAAACGGTGAGTATTCAACTGGAACATCAAGGATCGCTTTTCGTTCTATCCAAATTCTTGTTAGGAACCTGTCCTTGTTCGCCTGAAGGACCTGTTTTATAGTAAACCCACAAAATAGGATAGTTCCAATTGCCAGATTGACTTTTTGCTTAATTGAAAATCAAAAGATTGCAAAGAAAGCAAACACCAACCGTAATCAGGTCTCAAGTTTTTGTTCTTAATTTATTTTATCAAAATTCAATTATATCAACTGGCTATGATCTCGTACAAGGTCAAATTAGCTATTGTTAAAATTTATCCTTAATCGAAGACATCCTCTTTCGTTGAAGTCGTTCTCTTTCTACTACTAGTCATGTTTTCCACTGACTGCGATGATACACTCTTACGTTGACTTTACGTACCTGTATGCTTCATGTAATTTTTGCGCGTCGCCGCCCTTCTTTTCGTCGTGATGTGGCATTGTCTGGTGAGTTAAATTTAAATGATCCCCATTCGAAAAACCCAAACGTACCCTACGATCTGATTAGTTATATTTTCAATGAAATCACATCCTGTGTCGGCGCTTTAAACCCGCCCATTTATAAAATCTTCACGATGCCCATTAAGTTGCGTTAGTTTCCCGATAAAGACGTGACATGTTAAGAATGCTTTCAATAGCCGTTTATAATCGTGCGAATCTAACAGCCATCCAATGCAGATACACGATGTATTACGGGTTTACTGTTAATCGGACATGTCCTTAAGCAAACTGCCGTGACTGATTCGTTTCTGACGTTAATTTTTATCAAAGTTTATAACTTGCTTCTAAAAATAACAATATACTACGTCATTCATTCTTATTACTAAATTAAATTAAAAGAAATTATAAACCTAAACCTCTAGTGTATGTAATTAGAGGTGCAAATGGTAAGAAAAAGTTCATACAATTTCCCCTCAATAAAATAAGCGTTTTACGTCAAAAAATCACACTTTGAATATTTAATCCGTTAACCAGAATTTGATATGGACGGCCGTAGCAAAGTAAGTGGTATTTGGCAACTGGTCCTTTGAAATAGGTTAGTGATTTTGGAACAAGTTAAATAACGTCCTTGTCTAGCCCTACATATTCAACTTGCATGACCTACATAATGCTAGATTCCGTAACAAAACCAATCCCTTCCCACACATACGATTTTTAAA